TCAGAGATATGTTCTGTGCTGGTCGCATCCCCCAGGAAGATCTGGATCGCGTCATGGCAGCTTGTGGCGGTTCTATTCTTACCACAGTTTCTCAGATTGATGCTTCTGTATTAGGAAAATGCGAAAAGTTTTATGAGCAACAAGTAGGAAGCGAGCGGTGGGTGCAACTACATTGAAGCCTTAGTATTTTACCTATAATAGTTTTGCCTTATATTTTAATCTTGCGCATCTCATCGACTGAAAATGACGTTTCTTTTTAGCTATAACTTTTTCGAAGGCTGTGCTCGTCATCATGCTTGCACTCTTCTTCTTCGTGGTGGTGCAGAACAGTTTATTGCTGAGACGGAACGTTCCCTCCACGATGCCATCATGATCGTACGCCGGGCAAAGAAGAACGATTCTATCGTAGCTGGTTAGTAAACACGTTGTTTCCAACCTGCTTTTCGAACCTTTTTGCTTAAAGAGCTCAAGGGTTATCACACTTTTCAAGCCTCATAGTTCATGTTGTAGGTGGTGGAGCCATTGAAATGGAGCTTTCGCGTCATTTGCGGGCGAAGGCTAAAACAATTGCTGGAAAGGAACAGTTCTTCTGGAATGCGTATGCTCGTAGTTTTGAAGTATGTTCTGAATGCATTATTCCTTTCCTTAATCTTTGATCAGGAAAACTTCTCTTAGATTATTCCACAACAATTGTGCTACAACGCTGGTATCGATGCAATTGATATCTTGAATAAGCTGCGCCACCGACATTCGATTGGTACATTTTCTTATCGTTTGCGTATGAAGTTGTTATGATTGTAGAAGGACGTTTTAGGCGAAATCTGGGCTGGTGTTGATATCCACAAAGAGGAGGTGGGCGACAACCTTGCTGCATGTATCTGGGAGCCAAGTTTAGTCAAGAAAGTGTGTTTTTACTTATTATTCTTTATTCATTTTTCCCAAATCCATTTTTCTCTGTTCTAATTTGCGCAATCCTTCTCATCGCAAGTTCCCACGACAGTTGTCATTTTATTTCTTACAGATGTTTGTACATTTGCTGTTGTCAACCTTATTCTTCCAGAATGCCATTATCGCTGCGACGGAAGCCGTTTGCTTGATTCTGTCAATTGATCAGACAGT